GGCATGCAAGGCAAGCGCTCTACCACTGAGCCACCCTCCCAGCCCGGCTTTGGCTATTTTTGATATAGGATTTCTCTTACTGCCTGAGGTAGCCTAGACCAAAATCCACCTAATTATGTGTCCTGCCAGAGTTGGGATGACAGGTGTGTCCAACTTTTTTCTGGAGACATGGGGTCTTGCAAACTTTTTGTGCAGTTAAACCCTGAACGGTGATCCTTTGAATCTCAGTCCTTTGAGTGGCTTGGATTGCAGCTGTAAGCTGTTGTACAGATCTTTAACAATTTATTTATAAAGGTTACCCTGAAAACATATAATCTTATTCTTCAATTGAAAATTGACAAGAGCTCAATTAACTTTCTATTTTGAAGTGCCATACTTGTCTGATATTTTTGTTGTTGCTAGATTGTTGTGCCAGTACTGGGACTTGAATTTAGGCCTGTGTGCACTGACCCATACATTTCTTTTGCACAGTGCTAGCACTCTACCACCTCAGGCAAAGCTTCTCCAGCTTTAATTGAATATAAGCTTCACAACTTTCCTACCCAGGCTGGTTTCAAACCACAATCCTCAAATATCAGTTCCCTGAGTAGCTAGGATTATAACTATGAGCCACCAGCACCCAGCTTTGTGTTCTATAACTCTAGAAAGAATGCTTATTTATACTAACTTTTACACTTAACATTATCCAGTTAATACATATTGTAAATCTGGGGGGGAAAATGTTAGTAGGAGCATACAATTATAAAAATTAAAGATTATAATATCATTAAAGATGTTCAGAAGATCATTTGCTACCTCATAAGGTAGCAATAAGGTAATTTATTTAATTGCTACTACATAAGGCAACAAATATTCAGCAGATTACTTTAAAAATTACTTTAAAAATTGCTTTGGTGCTATCAGTACATGAGACCCTAGACCCAATTTGCCTACATCTACCTCCTGACTAACTACAGTTGTAGGTATGAACACCACACACAGAACTAAATTTTAAAAGATGGACAAAAATGGGGCTGGGAAGGTGGCTCAGTGGTAGAGCGCTTGCCTTGCATGCCTGAGGCCCTGGTTCGATTCCTCAGCACCACATAAGCAAAAAGAAAAAAGCTGGAAGTGGTGCTGTGGCTCAAGTGGTAGAGCGCTAGCCTTGAGCTGAAGAGCTGAGGGACAGCGCCCAAGCCCAGAGTTCAGGCCCACGACGGACCCAAAAACAAACAAACAAACAAAAGATGGACAAAAATCTCATTAAATCTCTTCCAATTGCTATCTTGCAATATCAACAGGTTCATTTATCAGGAAACTCAAAAAATAATAAATTAAATATTATATTTACCCATTTACATAGTGTCTAGTTTACACTAAAGAACCTTATCTGAGTATTATACGAAGCAGCTGTCAAGTTACAATGGGATAACTATTGTATTAGTAAAACATAATTACAACCAAGGAAATTCTTAGTCAATAATATTCTTAGTCAATTCAATAATGAGAATTAAGTGGCTACTTTTGAGACTTACATGTTTGTATTCATATCTATGTACATACATTTATAATTATCTCAAATATTATCACAGAATAGTAAAATGCATTTATAGAACTACAGGGTTTATTTATAAAATAAATACTTATGTCACTATGACAACTCAAGTATTTTCTCTTGCAATCATTCTTACTAAAGCCTTAGAATGTACAGAAAATTTCAGTAATATGGCTATAATATTAAATCTGTTGGCCTATTCCCTGGCATAGTACCTTAATAGGAGAAGGTGTAAAAAAATAACTCAAGCTGGGTGCTCACGCCTGTAATCCTAGCTACTCAGGAGGCTGAAATCTCAAGATCGCAGTTCAAAGCCAGCCCAGGCAGGAAAGTCTGTGAGACTCTCATTTCCAATAAACCACTAGAAAACCAGAAGTGACTCATGTCATAGAGGGCTCACCTTGAGCTGAAGAGTGCAGGGACAGTGACCAAGGCCAGAGTTCAAAAAACAAAAAGCAAAACAAACAAACAAACAAACAAAACTCAACCTCCTAGGTGCTAGTGATTCACGCCTATAATCCTAGCTACTCTGGAGACTGAGATTTGAGGATCATGGCTCGAAGTCAACAGGGGCAGGAAAGTCTGTGAGATTCTGATTTCCACTAAACTACTAAAAAAGCCAGACCAGCAGTGGAACTACTCAACAGGTAGCCTTAAACAAAAGAAGCTCGGGGACAGTGCTCAAGCCCAGAGTTTCAGGGCCAGAATGTTAAAAACCAAGCTACAACCCAGGCATTGCTGGCTCAAGCTAGTAATCCTAGCTACTTAGGAGGCTGAGATCTGAGGATTATGGTTCAAAACCAGTCCAGGCAAAAAAGTCCAAGAGACTCTGATCTCCAAGTAACCACCAAAAAACTGGAAGTATAACTGTAGCTCAAAGTAGCAGAGCACTAGCCTTGAGCACAAAAGCTCAGGACCTGAGTTTAAACCCCACAATGAACAAAAAATTTAAAAAGCTACTTATAACAGCTATTAGGGTGATACAAAGAAGCCCAACATTGTAAGCACAAACCCAGAAAACTACACGGACATACAGTCACATAGAAGAAGAACTTATTATCAGCTGAAGCTGACAGGCTAGCTCTCCAGGGATAGAGAGTAGCAGCCTGCTCAGGCAGGCTGAAGGCAGAAGGGGCTGGGTGTCAGAAATCTTTTGTAGTTGCAGCTGGACACTGGAGATGTTGGACAGCAAGGGAAGAACATCCTATAGCTGACACCTGGCTGGGGGGGGGGGGGGGGGGGGGGGGGGGGGGAGGGGGAGGGAGGGATTCTTTATCTGGCATGTAGTTGGGACAAAACATTCTGTATCTGGCACATCGTATATTGGACATGTCACCAGGTCAGGGCATCTTGCAGCTGGACGCTAGAAATAGCCTTTGCCTGGAATAAGGCATCCTGAGTGTGGTAGTAGCATGTTGCTGACACAGTTGGGGCTGGGGTATGTGCAATTTGGGTAGGAGTGGGCAAGTGTGGCTGGGCCTGGCTTGTGGATGACCCACGATGAAGACCGTTTACCCAAAATATGGTTGAATATGCTAACAAACAACTCTACATGAGAGCCACGTTTAAAAACAAATCCAGGTGGGCACCATTAGCTCACCCCTGTAATCCTAGCTACTCAGAAGGCTGAGATCTCTAGATCATAATTGGAAGCTGCTAAGCTGGAAGATATGATGCTTATCTCCAACTAAGTGCCCTAAAAGCCAGAAGTGGAGCAGTACCTCTGGTGGTAGAATGCTAGCCTTGAGCACAAAACCTCAGGGACAGCACTTTGGCCCTGAGTTCAAGCCCCAGGACTGGCACAAAACAAACACACAAAACTCAAGACTTTACAAACTTTGAATGTTTACTTACAAGCTATTATAGTTATCTCAAACATTATAAAGGAAAAACCAAGATTCCAAGTAAAAGACATAGGAAATTTCAAAGCTTGGTATGTATAATATAGATGATTGGCTTAGAGAACCGTAAAAGAAAGTGACACCAAATATAATGCTGTTCTCTTCTATATAACATTAAAAGTATACTGGGGTGGGAAAGTGGCTCTTGCATGCATAAGGCCCTGGGTTCAATTCCTCAGCACCACATAAGCAGAAAAAGCCAGAAGTGGTGTTGTGGCTAAAGTGGTAAAGCACTAGCCTTGAGCTGAAGAGCTGAGGGACAGCACCCAGGCACAGAGTTCAGGCCCCACAACTGACACAAAAAAAAAAAGGTGAAAAAAAAGAAAATGTCCCTTTCCATTTTGCTGCCTAAGTAACAGACCATTATTAAGGGACAGCTTGTTTTTGAGTTTCACTATGTTACCCAAGCTGTCTTTGAACTCCTGGGGACTCAAGGAATCCTGAGGACCTGGGATTATGCACACATGCTACATGCCTAACATACAGCTTTTTATATCTTTTCTCTAATTTATGATTCTCACCACCTAGCAGTAAGTCATTAACTTTTATTTTGTTTAGAAAGTACTAGGATTTGAGTTTAGAGTATGATAAGCATAATACACCACTTGAGCCACACTGCCAATCAAAGTCACAACTGTTAAAAAAAATAATGAAAGTATATGAAACCAATAAAGACAGGATGATCTGACAAGTTGATTTTTCCTTCAGTGCAAAACACAAAGGCAATTCTTTGCCATTATTTGACCTGTATTTTAAACGGAAATAACTCAGAACAGGGAAAGCAAATACAGTGCAAACATGGGAACAATATTTGACTAAAAAGAACATTTTTCACATTATTCAAGAAGTTCCTGATAACAAAACTAATCATCAAACTTAAGACAAAATTAATTTAAGATGTCAACTGTTCCATCAACATTCTATTGTAGCTACAAAAAATAAATGTTGAATCTTCTGACTTCATAAAAAGGTTACAGGATAAAATGCAACAAAAACCTAAATGCAACAATAGTCCATAAACCCAACAATTTGGCTTCTAAGATTCTACCCTGTGGGGATTTCTATAAGCCTCAAAAAAGTCTGAGGCTATTACAAACTGAAGGTGACTTACATACCACCCACTAATAAATGGTCAAATACATACATAACATCTGTATACAATGGACAACCAGAGATATAAATGTCAGTGACAGACATTAACTGACACTAGAAGATGTCTCTGACATCAATACTTAGTGAAATTGGCATCTATTTGTATAGCTAGTACAAAGTAATTGCATTTTAAAAGAATTCCGCTAACTACAGATATATGAGAAGTAACTGCAAATAAATGTTTTGAATTATACAGACACCTTTTCTTTGTACATGGTGTGTGTGTGTGTGTGTGTGTGTGTGTGTGTGTGTGTGAGAGAGAGAGAGAGAGAAAGAAAGAGAGAGAGAGAGAGATCTATGTACGAGAGTTAAAATAGTATGTATCAATGGAAAAAAAAAAAAAATCTTCCAGAGAGCCATTTAAAAAATAACTATTACAGACAAGTTCAGGAAGAAGAAGTTAAAGACACTACCTCAAACGGTTGGTATAGGTATCAACACATGTCTTCATTTTGGCCAATAATGTACCAACAGAAGTTTGACACTCTGTTTGTTCTTCCTCTTCTTCACCATTCTCTGTCGAAAGAGGCAATAATAGAGGCACCATAGATGTACAAGAAGCAATCGCCCGGAGCAATTCCAACAGAGCACGATATAACGGCACATGTCTTGCCATATCCAGAACTGTAGGAGAAGAGTACAAGAAAAAAATGAGAACACATACACCTTACGAGTGGGCAACATAGGCCAAGTGTTGGTGGCTCATGCCTATAATCCTAGCAACTTAAAGAGGCTGAGATCTGAAGATCACAGTTCAAAGACAACCCTGGCAAGAATTTATCTCCAATAAACTACTTATCTTAAACTTATCTCCAATAAACTACTCAGAAAAAGCAAGAATGGCCTTATGGTTCACGTGGTAGAGTGCTAGCCTTGAGCAAAAGGAGCTCAGGGACAGCTCCCAGGCTGAGTTTAAGCCACAGGACATGCAAAAAAAAAAATCCATAAATAAATAAATAAATATTTAAATACTTTAAAACTGAGTAAAGCTGGCACCAGTAGCTCACGCCTATAATGCTAGCTACTCAGGAAGCTAAGATCTGGTTCAAAGCCAGCCCGAGCTCAAAAGACTGTGAGACTCTAGTCTCCAATAAACCACTCAGAAAACAGGAAGTCGTGCTGTGACTCCAGTGGTAGAATGCTAGCCTTGAGCTGAGGGAGGCACCCAGGCCCAGACCAACAACAACAACAAAAAAAGCAATTTAGTAGGCATTACAATACTTGACTACAGAACCACAGCAACAAAATATGGTAATGTTTAGAAGACAGACTCTTCCACAAAGAGTGCTAAGAAATCTGTACATGTAGCATACTGAAACTAGATCCCCATCTCTCAGTACAAATATTAATTCAAAATGGATCAAAGATCTAACTGTAAGGCTGAAACTCTGAAGCTACTAGAGCAAACTGTTACATTCATATACTTTACTTTCTAAGAAAGACAAATAATTAACTTGATTATCTACAGGTCAAAACATCTATTGACTTGAGTGTCTGCCAGGTAACACTGGTCTTGGGAATCAAAATACACACAAGATAAACTTACAACAATGCTTTGCTCATATACAAATCTTTCTTGGTGTCTGCTAAAACAGAAGGTCCTCTGAATAACTATCCTCTCATATGGTCTCAATTCTATGCTATGACAAAGATTCTCTCTATACCTATTCTCCATCTGGCTACTTTTACTTCAAAGATGTCTCTGTGCACTTTTGACTTCTAGCCACTAAGCTACATTCCCAGTCCATTTAGCTCTTTATAAGAAGTCTAATCTGCAAATGTATCTCTTTAAGCTATTTCTATTTATTTTCTTGAAAGGATACACATTTCCATACTCTGAAAACAGCACTAAAATTGTAAATATTTTGTAACACTTTGAGCACCACCAAGTGCAAGTAATTTAACATGAATGCCCTCGTACATAGTGTTTATTTATTAATTTTTATGTGTGTTTATGTGTGTGCTCACGTGTCCATTTTCCCAACAGTTCTGAGACTTGAATTCATGGCCTCGCGATGTCACTGAGTCTTTATTTTTACTCAACATTAGTGCTCTACGCTTGCCTTGCATGCCTGAGGCCCTGGGTTCAATTCCTCAGCACCACATAAGCAAAGAGAAAAAAGCCGGAAGTGGCGCTGTGGCTCAAGTGGTAGAGCACTAGCCTTGAGCTGAAGAGCTGAGGGACAGCTCCCAGGCCTAGAGTTCAGGCCCCAGGACCGGACCCAAAAAAAAGATTAGTGCTCTACAACTGGAGTCACAGCACCACTTCCAGCTTTTTGTTGGTTAATTAGGAGGAGAGTTTCATGAATTTTCCTGCCAGGGCTGGTTTCAAACCATAATCTTCAAATCTTAGCTTCCTATGTAGCTAGTATTTCAGGCTTTTATTTGTTTCTTTAAAAAATACAAAAAAGTGCATTGCTGGGCATCGGTGGCTCATGCCTATAATCCTAAGTACTCAGGAGGCTGAGATCTGAGGAAAGCAGTTCGAAGCCAGCCCAGGCAGGAAACTTTGTGAGACTCTTATCTCCAATTAACAAAGGGGAGAAAAAAGCCAAAGTGGTAGAGCACTACCCTTGAGCAAAAAAAGCTCAAGGATAGTACCCATGCCAGAATATCCAGACCAACACACAAAAAGAAAAAGAAAAAAGAAAACCGAGGGCTGGGAATGTGGCTTAGTGGTAGAATACTTAGTAGTAGAGTGGTAGAAAAAGCTGGAAGTGGCACTGTGGCTTAAGTGGTAGAGTACTAGCCCTGAGCTAAAGAACCTCAGGGACAGAGAGCCCAGGCCCTTAGTTCAAGCCCCAGGACTGGCAAAAAATAAAAAAGATGCAAAGCATTTTTTTAATGAAAGTAAAATGAGATAAAGGGGATAGTCTGAAGTAACGTTTTTTGGCCTATTAACAGTCAAACATTCCCAACAGTCAAACAATATCCCCATCTAGTGGCCAGTAGAATAATTACAGGCTTACTAAATACAAATTAAATGTGAACTACACAGAAGAAAAAAGCTATTGGAACAATAAATGCTGCTTTCAGATTTACATGATCATGCTAAGTGGAAGTCAAAATGTTGCAAGATAAATTAGAATGGACACAAACTTTATATAAAGGTTTTCTAGCCAGATACCCTGGCTCACACCAGTAATCCTAGCTACTAAATTGGCTGAGATCCAAGGATCACGGTTCAAAACCAGCCTGGACAGGAAAGATCATGAGACTCTTACCTACAATTAATCAGCAAAAAGTTGGAAGTGGAACTACAGCTCAAGTGGTAGAGCACCTAAACTCTGAGCAAAAACTCTTCAGGGAAAACACCCAGGTCAAGCCCTAAGATTGGAACGATAGATAGATAGATAGATAGATAGATAGATAGATAGATAGATAGATAGATAGATAGATAGATAGATAGATAGATAGATAGAGATAGATAGATAGATAGATAGATAGATAGATAGATAGATAGATAGATAGATAGATAGATAGATAGATAGATAGACAGACAGATAGACAGATAGATCCCTATTATTAATATTCTTTTATTAATTTTATTTTTCTTTTTCTACTTTTTATTTTTTATACTGTATTTTTTCTAGCAGTTTTTACTCATTTTTTAAAATCTTCAATTTTATCTAATATTTATCTTCTTAACTTCTCTTATTTATACATTGCTTTTCTTCATTTTTCAACTGGAGTTTTTGGGGAGGGGGTCAGTGGTGGGGCTTGAACTCAGGGACTATACACTATCCCTGTGCTCAAGACTAGCACTCCACCACTTTGAGCCAACACGCCACTTCCTCTGTTGCTTTTGGTTTTGTTTTTAATCTCTTGTTAGTACACAAAGATAGACAAGAAACCAATGTAAAAGAATGCAGAACACAGAAATATGCCCACATGAGCTGGGAATGTGGCTTGTGGTAGAGCATTGCTTAGCATGCACAAAGCCCTAGGTTCAATTCCTCAGTACCACATAAACCAAAAAAGCGAAAGTGGTGCTATGGCCCAAGTGGTTAAGAGTGCTAACCTTGAGCAAAAGAAGTTCAGGAACAGTGCCCAGGCCCTGAGTTCAAGCCCCCAGGACTGGTTTTTAAAAAAAGAAAAGAAATATGTCCACACAACTGTAGCCATCTGGTTCTCAATAAAGGCACCAAAATCATAACTAATAAATGGTGCTAAAAAGACTGAGTATCCAAATGTTGACAATTGAAACCAGATTCCTATTTCTTACCCTATATACAAATCAATGCAAATTGAACCAAATTCCTTAATATAAATCCTGAAACTTTGAAACTACTAAGGGAAAGCAAGAGGAAGAACTTGAAGACATAACAAACAACAATATTCTGAACAGAATTCCAATAGCTCAGGAGATAGCAAGAACTGACAGGTGGGAACCTGGGGTATTAGCTCAAGCAGTAGAATACATATCTAGCCAAACTGAGACCCTAAGCTCAGACCTCAGCATCATGACAAAAACAAAACAAACAAAAAAAGACAATTCCAAAGCTTCTACACAGTAAATGAAACAATTAACAAACTAATGTGGCAGCCCACAAAGACAGGAGAAAAATTTTCAATCTACTACAAAAACCCAAAACAACGTAAGGTCAAGGCATGGTACTACATGCCTGCAATGCTAGCTCTGTGGGGAGCAAATTGGAGGGTCACAGATGAGAGCTAGCCCAGGCAGAGAAATGTTAGCTGCATTTCATCACAGTGCACACCCACGTCAGGTGAAATACACCTATAAATACGTAGCTGTGTGGGAAATGTAGGCAGGAGGATCAGAGCTCAAAGTTGGCTTCAGAAAAATTATGAGACTGATAATGCATAATATAAAATTTTTAAATAAATAATAAAACAAAAGTTAAAAGAACTAGGGATGTGGTTTAAGTAGAAGAGTGCTTTTCTAGCCAAGATCCTGGGCTCATATATTAGTACCAACAAAGATGAAAAATGTAAAATACAAAATACGGGGCTGGGAAGGTGGCTCAGTGGTAGAGTGCTTGCCTTACATTCATGAGGCCCTGGGTTCGATTCCTCAGCACCACGTAAGCAGAAAAAGCCTGAAGTGGCGCTGTGGCTCCAGTGGTAGAGCTCTAGCCGTGAGCTGAAGAGCTGAGGGACAGTGCCCAGGCACAGAGTTCTGGCCCCACAACCCGCAAAAAAAAAAAAAAAAAAAGTAAAATACTGCTTGACCTTACTCCTTCAACTAAAAATGATAAAATGTGTGAACAAAAATCTTTTGCCCATCAAGATACTTCAAAGGAGTATTACGGTGATTTACCAGAGTCATTCCGTAAGTATGAGGACATGGCAGGGATGAGGCAGGACTGGCTGAGAAGTTCCAGCAGCACAGAAGGCAAGGCATTGCTGTTCTGTCCTCTACTCTCAGGAGATGATGACGCTTCTCCATTTACTGCACCACTGACAGGGTTTATGTAACTTGCAAGAACCTAAGAACAAAAATTATTAAAAGGAGATTGTATTTAGCTTCCCTTAGATTACAAGTCTATACTTTGCTAGACATTCAAACTCAATACTCAAAAACATATCTAATATCCAATGAACGACATGTTTTGAAAAAAAATTTTCTGCTTGACTTTTCAAAACGGAATGATGTTTTGCTTCAGAGTATTGCTTACAAAATATGTTTGCCCTTTATATAACCACAGAGAAGCAATCAATCTAAGGACTAAAAAATGTAGAAGCACTTCTTATATTATTTATGATTATTTTGAGGACACAGGCACATTAAAAAATGATCTATCATTCTTGAATTGCAGAAAATAACACTCAAAAAATGGACTGACTTCCATTAGCCCATGTGGGAACTGAGGCTAAATACTTTTTCATGTATCTTTACCCATTTCTTTCTTTTTTTTTGTCGATTGTGGGGCTTGAACCCTTGGTCCAGGTATTGTCCCTAGTTCTTCAGCTCAAGGCTAGTGCTCTACCACTTGAGCCACAGCACCACTTCCGGTTTTCTGAGTGGTTTATTGCAGATAAAACTCTCCTGGACTTTCCTGCTTTCCTGACTCAACTGACTTTGAACCATTATCCTCAGATCTCAGCCTCCTAAGTAGCTAGAATTACAGGTGTGAGCCACTGGCATTCTCTTTACCCATTTCTATGCTAAGACTTTCAATCCTGGCTAAACTTGCTTGATTCTAGAAATAAATGATAATTAGAGACACAAAAACGGTAACAGGGAAGCCAGGTACTGGTGGCTCACGCCTGTAGTCCTAGCTACTCAGGAAGCTGAGATCTGAGGATCACAGTACAAAGCCAGGGAAAGTCTGTGAGACTCTTATCTCCATTTAACCATCAGAAAAGCGGAAGTGGCACTGAGATAGTGGCTGTGGAAGTAGCTGAAGTAGTAGAGTGCTCGCCTTGAGCTGAAGAGCTCAGGGACAGTGTCCACGCCCAGAGTTCAAGCCCCATGACTAACAACAACAAAAAAAAAAGTAACAGGACTAGGGATGTAAGCAAAACTTAAAAAGATTAGAAGTGAGAGCCCAATCCTTGTCCTATGACAGCTTAGAATATACTGGGAACCAGGATCAAAAGTAAGCATGCCTGAAGAGCTGAGGGACAGCGCCCAGGCCCAGAGTTCAAGCCCCACGACCAACAAAAAAAAAAAAAAAAAGTAAGCATGAAGTAGCTGAAAATGAGTTAAATACATCATCACTAATTTAAAATTAATATAATATAAATCAATAATATTTATCACAGGCAATATCAACTGAACAAACATACCTGCAGAAGACAGGTAACATGTTCTTCTTCCAGCCTCTGTTTAGTTAAGGCCTGTTCCACATCCCACCCAGAAGCTGTAGAACCTGTACCAAAGCCAGTCCCTTTGGCCCAGTATAGCTGTTGTTCTTCTGTTGATGTAGGATTATGAGAGCTTGACACCTGTGGCTTGTATTAGTAATAATAAAAAATTTATTAAACTTGGTTTTCATCAAAACCCTATCAAGGGGGCTGGGAAGGTGGCTCAGTGGTAGAGTGCTTGCCCCACATGCATGAGGCCCTGGGTTCGATTCCTCAGCACCACATAAAGAGAAGAAAAAAAAAGCCAGAAGTGGCACTCTGGCTCAAGTGATAGGACCCTATCCTAGAGCTGAAGAGCTGAGGGACAGCACCAGGGCCCAGAGTTCAGGCCCCACGACCAACCCCCCCCCAAAAATAAAAAACCCTACAAATAAACCTATCAAACAACTATTGATTAGCAATCACATACATATATGCATACATACATACATATATCCCAAAGAAATGAAAACTAGTACTAGAACAAACATCTAACAATTCAGCCATGACTCCAGATTACCATTTTGCTGGTTAACTGACAGATCAAGTCTCAAAAGACTTTCTGCCTAGGATGACTCTAAAATTGATCCTCTAGGTCTTAGATTCCTATGTAACTAGGAATATAAGTGTAATCGATTAGATCCAGGATGTATTAACATGTACACTTCTTATATCTAATGAAGAAACATCCCTTTTGTATCAACAATAATTTTTATTATGACTCCATTGTCATGAAGTCATATACACCTTTTTTTTTTGGGGGGGGGGGAGGAGGGTGGTGGTCAGTGCTTTCCAGAAACCATGATCCTCCTGATTTTGATTTCAGCCTCCCAAGTAGCTAGGATTACAAGCAAGAGCCAACAGCGCCTAGTTAATGCTGGTTTTCTTACTGCACTGCAGGGTTACTACAGTTAGCAATAATATATAATGTATTGTGTATTTCAAAAGATCTAAAAGAGAAGGCTTGGAAGGCTCTTATTATAAAGAAATGGTAAGGCAGAAGATAAGCTAATTAATGACTAGATCATAACATAATGCTGCCTTGAGAACCATAAATATGTACAATTATGTGCTGATTTTTTTTTTTGGTAGGTCGTGGGGCCTGAACCTGGGCCTGGGTCCTGTTCCTGAGCTCTTCAGCTCAAGGCTAGCGCTCTACCACTTGAGCCACAGCACCATTTCCGGCTTTTTTTTCCCCTGCTAATGTGGTGCAGAGGAATCAAACCCAGGCCTCATGCAAGGGAGGCAAGTATTCTATCACTGAGTCACCTTCCCAACCCCTGTGTATCGATTTTTTTAAAGTTCTAAATTGGCTGCTTCTCTCACTATGAGTGTTTAATAAATAATAAAGGCATTGATCTTTGTTTTCTACAAACAGGTACTGAATATATATTTTACATATAAAATACACCATATGTGTATACACACACACACACACACACAAACACACACATTTTTTGGTCATGGGGCTTGAATCCTGGGCCTATGTGCTGCTCCTGAGCTCTTCAGCTCAAGGTGAGAGCTCTGCCATGTGAGCCATAGCACCACTTCTTGTTTTCTTGTGGTTAACTAGAGATAAGTAGCTCAAGGATTTTCCTGCCCTGGCTGGCTTTGAACCATGATCCTCAGATCCCAGCCTCCTAAGTAGCTAGGATCACAGGCATGAGCCACTGGGGCCTGGCATATTTTATATGGTATCTATTTAGACTTAAGCACATAACATTTTTAAACTGTACAACACAAAATTTTCACTTTAGTTCAATGTACTATTAAAGTGATTTACCATTACATACATACAATTCATACTTTATAAGGTTGAAGAAATATCACATGTAAGAAAATCATGTATATACAAACACACATATGTACATACACACACAGACTTGGGTATCACTCAGCAGGCTTGTGTTTATACTTATACAAGTAAAATCGTTTCACGGTGAATTTTAATACAAGCTAATATGCATTTCTTTCTTTAAAATTGCCTCCAGTACCCTTATCAAAATAAAGTAGAACTATATCACACTTCTGGACTGATATGGGAAGAAATTATATTATTGCACTGTTGCATTTTCTAACTCATAGGAGATAAACATATGCAAAGAAATTCCAGCATTTTTATTAATTTTTTTGTTTATGTGGTACTGAGAAAATGAACCCAGGGTCTCATGCATACTAGGCAAGCACTCTACTAGCCACATTTCCAGCTGAAGCTTTTTTTTTTTTTTGGTCAGTCATGGGGCCTGAACTCTAGGCCAGGGTATTGTCCCTCAGCTCTTCAGCTCAAGGCTAGCGTTCTACCACTTGAGCCACAGCGCCACTTCCAGCTTTGTCTACTTATGTGGTGCTGAGGAATCAAACACAGGGCCTTATGCATGCAAGAGAAGCACTCTACCACTGATCCACATTCCCAGCCCTGAAGCATTTTAAAATATATTTTCTTTTTTTGATTAATACATAGGTCTTTTCTTGTTTTGATGTTAGTCTCATAGTTACATGGATTACAATAGATTTTAATATATTGACAATACATAATATATTATATTCTCATAAAGCACAATTAAGCTACTACTTTTAGTATTTTCTATAACCTCAATGAAGTTATCTAGAAATAACCAGAGTTTAGTTGGTTATTTGGTTGGTTGTTTAGTCCTTTTGTTACTGTCTTACTGCACTGGTTAGAACTCATCAATCAATAAAGAATGTGAGTCTCTAAAATTAAATAAGGAAAAAAGGGTATCACAACTAAAAATTCATAGTATCTTAGCAAAGAGAAAAGCTTAGTAAGGTGTTAAATATCTTCTTTCAAGGAGATGAGTTAATCTGTGATTTTTCTGAATAAGTCTCTAAAATAGACCAAGATAAGGAAACCTACCTCTGTTTGATTGAGGGTAGAGTTTGGAACTCGTGGGGCATGGTGGCTCAGAGCAGAGAGACAGACAAGAATGAGATGCAGTGCTCCAATTTCCAATGCCATCCGCCTTAGAAGCACACCATCATCCGTTGTCAAAGGTGTAGCACTAAATAAGCTACGAAGGACATGGAAAGGAAGGGTTGGAAGCACGTTGGCGGATGGAGATTGGAGGATATGACCTAGATTGAAAAGAGAAAAGGAGTCAAAATATTAAAAAATAAAAAAATTAAAGCTACAAACAAGGGGTTTTGCTGTTATTGTTGCTGGTGTTTCCTTTTCGGTCTTTTTTTTTGGGGGGGTGGAGATTAGGGGGATACAGAAAGGTAGGAAGGAAGGGCAATGCAATATGCTATGAAACTTGTGGGCAGGGATATGAGGGGAACAACTAGGGGAAAGGAAGAATGACATTGTCCAAAGAAAGAAATGTACTCATTACCTAACTTATGAAATGGTAACAGCTCTGTACAACACCTTAATAATAGCAATTAAATCCTACAGCCAGGTGCCAGTGGCTCACGCTAGTAATCTTAGGAGGCTGAGGTCTAAGGATCATGGTTTGAAGCCAGCTTCAACAGGAAAAGTCGTCAAGACTCTTACCTTGAAATAACCACCAGGGTTGGGGGAAGGCAAAAAGTAGAGCTGTAGCTCAAGTGGTATAGTGCTAACCGTAAGCAAACAGCTTAGGGACAGGGCCCGAGCCCTGAGTTCAAGCCAGAGAACACAAACCACACAACACACAAACACACACACACACACACACACACACCCCACATACTTATATAAAGACTACAGATGAATAATTATATAGAATTATATTATAAAATTTATTAAGAAACAGACTAGCACAGAGAGAATAGAAACAATCTGAAATTTAATAAAAACTAGTGCCAGGAAAAGCACTTTATAAGACTTTTTTTTTTATTTTTGGTTAGTCATGGAGCCTGACCTCTAGGCCTGGGCACTGTCTCTTAGCTCTACCACTTGAGCCATAGCACCACTTCCGGCTGGAGCCTGACCTCTAGGCCTGGGCACTGTCTCTTAGCTCTACCACTTGAGCCATAGCACCACTTCCAGCTTTTTCTGCTTTATGTGGTGCTGAGGAATTGAACCCAGGGCTTCATGCATGCAAGGTAAGCACTCTACCACTGAGCCACCTTCCCAGCCCCTGTAAAACATAAATTCTGAAAGCAATTTGAATACTTATGATAAGTAATAACTAGAGATTATCAAAATTATGACAAAGTAAAACTGATCACTAAAGAGAAGGGATAAGTTAAGAGAGATGGGTGACAATGTTGTCAGATACTTTGTACTCATATTGTTTTGTAGAAAGGGAACTTCTTTGTACAACTACTTAAAGATAATAAAAAAATTTGGAAAAAATTGATCACTAAAAAATAATTCAAAGTTTCTAAAAACAGTAAGAAAATAACTGCTTAACTTGGAAATCATTTTCACATAAAAGACAATGAACAGTTGAAACAATTCCCTTTTTTAGTCAGAAAGAGGTTCTATGTTAAGTAAAAAATGGTATCTAAATCGTGGATGAGGCCTATGCAGAAAAGGTACAATCATATCTTTCAAGAAATACTCTTACATATTCACTAAGAATAAGTCTGAAGTATCACAAAGGCAATTCTTTTTCTGTATAGGAGCATGCTTACTGTCATTAACAGTCTTAAATACCATGAGTCTCTAGCTACTTAAATGTACCTTGAATGTTTGATGCCTTAAGTATTTTAAGATATATAATTTTATTGGATTAAATATAATTTGTGATATAGGGTTTAACAGTGTGGTTTTTTTTTGGGGGGGTGTCCGTCATGGGACTTGAACTCTGGGCCTGGATGCTGTCCCTCAGCTCTTCAGCTCAAGGTGAGTGCTCTACCACTTGAGCCACAGTGCCACTTCAGTTTTCTAGTGGTTTATTGGAGATAAGAGTCTCACAGACTTTCCTGCCTAAGCTGGCTCCTCAGATCTCAGCCTCCTGATTCGCTAGGGTTACAGGCATGAGCCCCCGGCCCTGGGCACAGTGTGGTATTTATAAACAATGCAAGAAATAAACTTTACTAAGAATATGATAAAATAAAAAAGAAAGTATTACTCTTTTGGGGGGTCAGTCACAGGGCTTGAACTCAGGGCCTGAGCACTGTTTCTAAGCTTCTTTCGCTTAAAACAAGCATTTTACCACTTGAGCCACAGTGCCACTTCCAGATTTTCTGAATAGTTTATTGGAGATAAGAGTCTTAAAGCCTTGCCTGCCTGGGCTGGCTTTGAACTACGATCCTAGACCTTAAGAGTCCTGAGTAGCTAGGAGTATAAGCATGAGCTACAGGCACCTGGCTGAAAGTATTACTCTTTTGTATAATAGTATTAATGTAATTGTCATTAAACAAATAATTCAACATGAAGATAACCCAAACAAAATTCTACTTTTGCTATGGTATTTAAATCCCTTCTCTCCCTTTCACCCTACCCCTTCTCTCTGATCTTCTCCTCTCTCCTCCTCTGCCAGTAACAATGCTAAGCCAGTGGAAAGCATCATTTTGGTTTTCTTCAATTACTGTTTTTATTACATAGCTTACTTTACTATAATATTTTCTGAACAAATTCTTTTCAATCTATTTTACCAGATTCACTTAAAATTTTTTTTAAAAAGCCAGGCACCGGTGGCTCACGCCTGTAATCCTAGCTACTCAGGAGGCTGAGAGCCCGGGCAGGAAACTCCAAACTCCATGAGACTCTTATCTCCAATAAACCACTAGAAAACCAGAAGTGGTGCTGTGGCTCAAGCGGTAGAGCACTCGCCTTGAGCTGGAGAGCTGAGGGCCCCACGGCCGACAATAAATTAAACAAACAAATAAACCTTTCATGCTGCTACTTTGTTTAACATGTATAAAGTTCTTAATAAACCTGTAAATCTAACTCTAAGACTAATTTTTATACAAATTCTCATTGGCTAATTTCTCCCCTATGATATTATATTCTCAGCTTCCAAACACCACTGGGACTATTCCATTTCTGAAATGCAAATCTAAATCTCATTTTCCAAGACCCCACCAAAAATTATCTTGGTCTTCCATCACTGGATAGAGCCAAAAAATAGCTTCATATCTCTGAGCCTCCATAATACTATATATGTATGCTCAGGCTTTTTATAATTTGGTAAAAATTATGTACTTCTGCACTGGTATGACTGATGACATTAGCTTCTAGAGGGTAGATCTACCTAAATAACCCACGCAGCAGTATTTTGGTTTTCTGGTGTTACTGAGGTTTGAAGTCAGAGCCTTTCACTTGCTAGGTAAACAATCTATCACTTGACCCATGCCTCCAGCCCAATAGTTTTGAAAGAAATATTCGTTCTTTAGGATTTATTATGTCTAATAATAAAAAAAAGGAAAAAAGCCACCATTATCAACAAATCAGCTAATAGTTTTGCTATGAAGGAAGTGAATAACTTCAGCCATTCTACTTGTGTTAATATAATTAATAAATATACTTACTTCCTTCTCCATCATCTGTTACTCCCAAAACCAGACGAAGAAGGCACTGGGCATGTTTCCTTTCTTTCAACAATACTTCAGCATAACCCGGAAGACGAAGAAATAATCCAAAAGCAGCCAAAGAATGGGCAGGTATGGGAGACATCGTCTGCACTGCTGACTTGATAGGTGGGGGCTCAGCGGCAATAGTTTCTGGAGCTTCATAAACTAATTCTCCTGACTGCTCAATAGTCACCCACTCAAACTGATCACTATCTTTTGGCTTTTCCTGAGTAGTAGATGTTACTACTGGAGCACTCACCTATGGGAGGAATACAGTATGTTTGGTTATTTGTATGATTTAACCTTAAGTTCAAATTTTAAACAGCTGACTTCAATATAAAAGCACAACAATCTAAAGATTTAAAGGAAATCAAGCCATTTAAAAACATCCCAACACTTATGGCAAGAGTATGATAGTATCTGCAATTATTTCTATGTTACAAGATGTATTTTCCTTGGTGAAATTAGTTACGTATATATTCTTTGAGACCTTTTAAATATCTTCTCACCAAAGGTTCCTTTATTTATTTTTTTATGTTTGTGCCTGTCTTGGGGCTATTCTTGAGCTGTTGTGCTCTACCCTTTTGAGCCATGGCTTCACTTCTGGTTTACAGCTGGTTAAATGGAGATAAGCAGTCTCAGGAACTTTTTGGCCCAGGCTGGCTCCCAACAGCAATCTTTAGATGGCAGCTTCCTGAAAGGCTAGAATTACAAGTTTGAACCACCTGTCTTCTCGTTTAGTTTCCCTTTTTTGTTGTTGTTGTTGATGGTCAAGGGGCTTGAACTCAGAGGGTGTGGGTGCTGTCCCTGAGCTCTTTTACTCAAGGCTAGCACTCCACCACTTTGGGCCACAGAACCGCTTCCAGTTTTCTGGTAGGGTTGCTGCTTTATTATAATCAATGAAGTATACTATACTGAATTCTGATTTAGGAAAATAATTTTTATTGAGCAATGATAATCTTCAAAATGTTGGAGCTTCTGGGCTGGAGAGGTGGCTCAGTGGTAGAGCGCTTGCCTTGCATGCATGAGGCCCTGGGTTCGATTCCTCAGCACCACATAAGCAAAAAAAAAAAAAGCCAGAAGTGGTGCTGTGGCTCAAGTGGTAGAGCGCTAGCCTTGAGCTGAAGAGCTGAGGGACAGCGCCCAGGCCCAGAGTTCAGGCCCCAAAACAAAATGTTGGAGCTTCTGCCTAATTTTTTTTTTGGGGGGGGGTGGTTTCTGGTCATGGGGCCTGAATTCTGGGCCTGGGCGCTGTCCCTCAACTCTTCAGCTCAAGGCTAGCGCTCTACCACTTGAGCCACAGTGCCACTTCTGGCTTTTTTCCTTTTTTCTTATGTGGTGCTGGGGAATCGAACCCAGGGCCTCATGCATGCAAGGCAAAGCGCTCTACCACTGAGCCACCTTCCCAGCCCCGCTTCTGCATAATTATTCAAGTACTTTTTACAGTAAGAAAGTTAACTCATTATAGAGTTAACTCATTATCTTATCAGTGACCTTAAGACACTGATATAGCTCTACAAATGCAAACTGTAAAACTGATTGATTTTTATACAAATTTTCATTGGCAAACTTCTTCCATCCAATATTATATTCTCAGCTTCCAAACACTGTTGGGACCATTCCTTCTTTCTGAAATACAAACATAAATCCCATTTTCCTTAATTTAAAATTTTAAATAGTCTTAAATTTTAAATAGTAGAATACCTTGGCTAGGAGTGTGACTCAGTGATAACAGTGCTTGCCTAGCATGCAAGAAGCCCTGGATTCGATTCCTCAGTACCACATAAACTGAAAAAGCTGAAGTGATGCTGTGGCTCAAGTGGTAGTGTGCTAGTCTTGAGCAAAAGCAGCTCAGAGATAAGAAGCTCAGCAACAGTAAGCAGGCCCTGAGTTCAAGTCCCAGGACTGGGAAAAAAATTAAATTAAAAAATAAATAAATAGTAAAATGAGTACATATTTTGGTGTGTGGATCCAAAGAAGATATGCTTAAATATTAACCCAATTATCTGCGATGGTCCTTTGCAAAAATAATCAAGTTAACAAGAGGCAAAACTGGTTTAAAGAGACTCAATTCAATGACCAGTATCAATGAAATCAGTAAGAATAATCTATGTCATTTACAACTCCTAATATTCTGGCCTTCCTCCTTATTCATTAAAAAAGAAAAAGACAAGGACAGCACATGTATCAATGGGAGTAACACAAGTGAGCATAAATACAGGTTAAAACATATTTTATGAAATTAGCTAACCTGAAAGTACAGCTAAGATAGAAGTCACACTTAAAAAGGAGTATAGGAGTGGCACTATATACTACTATTTTACTTGTCTATTTCTAATAGTAGCTACAATTAATATCACATCGAAAAGAAGTACAGAAACAAGAATGCTAGCATGACAGAAATAAAATCAAGACAAAGTGGCTTTGTCTTCCAGATGTCTTCGGTATCAGCTAATCCTCACAATACTCTATACAAGTGACTTAGAGAAAGTTACCCAGTGCTCAAAAATTGCAATGCCAAACAAATAAATTGCTGTGGCAAGGCGATTTCACAAAGGTGAACGCCAGTTAAAAATCCAAGAATAAAGGGCTTCCATATGGAATGATATACTGCATAAGGGATTTTATCTTACCTGTTGAATTACTTCAGGATACAGCATGGGTAGCCTTTCTGCAATAAGAGCAAGCCCACCCATTCCTGCAAAAACTTGTAATGGTGATTGAATGGGACAGGTTTCAAGTAGAGATTCATCCAATATCCCATCCATACACTCATCACTTGGAGTGAGAGCTTCATCTTCTGGGCAATTACCAAGTAAGTCTCCATGATCTATACAACAAATCATTAAAAACAACAAGAAAGAATATGTTTGTAACATTATTATAAACCACTGGTATCAAGGCTTTCTCTATACACAACAAAAGAACATAAATACCAGACGTCCAGATATGGCTAGATTAAAGCTAAGTATGTAATAACCTTTAAGTTACTTCTGACACAGCCTTCCATAGTTTTCATATTCAAAACATGGTTCATGGCCAGGCACCAGTGACTTACTGGTACTTACTCTAATTGTAGCTACTCAGGAGGCTGAGACCTGGAGGCTCACAATTAAAGTAAGCCTAAGCAGAAACATCCACAAGACTCCATCTCTAAAAATAATCAGAAAAACAAAAGGCCAGACTGGAGAAATGGCTCAAGTGGTAACACCAGCAATGAGCAAAGCTAAGCTGAGAAAGGGGGAAAAGTCTAGAGTTCAAACCCCAGTAAATAGGAGCGGCGCTGTGGCTCAAGTGGTAGAGCGCTTGCCTTGAGCTGGAGAGCTGAGGGATAGCGCCCAAGCCCAGAGTTCAAGCCACACGATCCACAAAAAACAAAACAAACCCCAGTACAGGCAAAAAAAAAAGCGAGAGAGAGAAGGAATCTTAGTAATATACTTGGCGTATGCTCTAAAGTTTTACAATAAGCAAAATTGTATGACAAAGATTTCTCTTACTGAAAATTCAGAATTATACCATGTTGGTTGATGTTTAATTGGCCGATGAAGAAAACCAAAAGGTTAGTATTGCAACCCGCAGCAGACATTATAAATTTTGTAAAAGTAGAGGAATACAATTCTGCTGACAAAGTGAAAAAAAGGAATATACTGACATTTACTAAAAAAATAAAAATAGCTACTAACTAAAGTATGAACTATAACGATAAAGACTGAAACTTTCTGAATATCCACAACCATACTCACTGCTTAAACAATCAGAATATTTAAAGAAATGAAGAACATTTAAAATTTCATTATAACCATAAAAATAGCCAAAAGACATGCATTTTAATATATTTAATGGAAAATATAAGTAAGAAAATTAAAAGAGAAAGGCACTAGTGGCTCATGCCCATAATCCTAGCTACTGAAAGGCTGAGATCTGATGATTGCAGAGCAAAGCCATCCTGGGCAGAAAAGTCCCTGTGAGACTCTTAGCTCCAATTATTCACTCAGAAACTGGAAGCAGTGCTGTGGCTCAAGTGGTAGAGTGCAAGCCTTGAGCACAAAGAGACTCAGAGACAGTGCCCAGGCCCTGAGTTCAATCCCCTAGTCTGACCAAAATAATAATAATAATAATAATAAAGATAGGAAAATGTGTGATCCTAATTCTGTATGAGGAAAAATGTTTATGAGCATGAAATACAACTCAATATAATTTATCACTAAAATGTAATTTAGTATTATTACTGTGACTATAAAATGACAATTCAAGCTGAGCTCACACAAGTAGTCCTACCTACTCAGGAAGCTGAGATCTTAGAATACTGAATCAAAACAAGTCCAGGTAGACAAATGCAAGAGATAGTTATCTCTAATTAACCAGTAATATGCTGGAAGTAAAAGTGTGGCTTAAGTGGCAGAGATATAGCCTTGAAGAAAAATGTTCAAGGACAGTGCCCAGCCTCTGACTACAAGCCCCAGTACCAGCAGGGAAAAAAGAAAAAAAAACAAAGGGAATGAAAGGAAAGAGAGGAAAGGGAAGAGAGGAAAGGGAAGAGGGAAGAGGGAAGAGGGAAGAGGGAAGAGGGAAGGGAAGGGAAGGGAAGGGAAGGGAAGGGAAGGGAAGGGA